AAGAGGACGCATTGGTCCGCGATGAAAGGTGTGCATCTTGCGACTTTTCCTATATGCATTCTCGACCTGGCGGAGCTGGTCAAGAGCCACACCAAGACTACACGACAGATGTGCGGGCTACAATAGAGGAACAATTCCCTGGAACTATTCCTGCTAGTGTAATTGTGTCTTTGGCGTTTAATACCAGACTCCGCGTTTTCGCGGGCTGTTTCGAATGTGCAAGTGCCCGAAGACAAGCGGCTCATCGTGTACAGCTTACCGATCAGCTTGTCAAATATTGTAGACGTACTGATGTCGATGCCAAAGTCGTACATGATCATGTTCCTCATCGTTCGCAGCGTGTAGGTACAATTGTCGTTGAAATACTTTTCGAGTGCGGATACGACCTATGACGTGAGGCCATTGACAGCAAGTGGCCCTGATTTCCATCATCTGGCTACACCATGGTGTGTCTTGTCTACGACTTTTGATGTATTACTAGCTAACGCATAAGCAATCCTGTTTTTCGGCAAGCTGGCGGCACTTGTGATGATCCCTTCCGGAGTCAGTCGCGTGTGGTGCGTATGACGTTTACACTGCAGATTGTTGCCAAAGCTATTCAAGAGGACGCATTGGTCCGCGATGAAAGGTGTGCATCTTGCGACTTTTCCTATATGCATTCTCGACCTGGCGGAGCTGGTCAAGAGCCACACCAAGACTACACGACAGATGTGCGGGCTACAATAGAGGAACAATTCCCTGGCACTATTCCTGCTAGTGTAATTGTGTCTTTGGCGTTTAATACCAGACTCCGCGTTTTCGCGAGCTGTTTCGAATGTGCAAGTGCTCGAAGACAAGCGGCTCATCGTGTACAGCTTACCGATCAGCTTGTCAAATATTGTGGACGTACTGATGTCGACGCCAAAGTCGTACGCGACCATGTTCCTCATCGTTCGCAACGTGTAGGTACAATTGTCGTTGAAATACTTTTCGAGTGCGGATACGACCTATGACGTGAGGCCATTGACAGCAAGTGCCCCTGATTTCCATCATCCGGCTACGCCATGGTGTAGATGTGTTAACTGGTGTCTACGACTATAGATGTATTACTAGCTAACG